AGAGTTCCAGGCTGCGGGCATGGCTGGAGCAAAGGCACGGAGGTAGGAAGGTGCCTTTGTGTTTGGGGGCTGGTGTGGTTGGAATACAAGATGCCACAAAAGGGCTGTTGTGAGTGGAGAGAAAAGAGAAGGCGGGTGGAGGGTGGTCTCAGCCGCGCAGGAGCTGGTAGGGGAGGGAGAGGAGTGATGAGCTGCTGCACTCAGCTCTCCCTGCCCCCTAAGTGCCTGGGACCTGCCACCCTGAGTACAACTGCCACACCCCCTTCGTTGGCAGTGGTTTTGTTCTTTTGTTAGCAGTAACCGTCGCTGACATGCTGTGCATTTTACATCACCCCGCTTCCCCCCGCCATGTGCACACGTGTGCAGGCTGCCAGGCCAGGGGTTCGTGTCCATTTCTTCGCTGCCGCATTCCTCGTGCCTAAACCATGCCTGGTGCAGAGTAGGAGATCTCTGTTGGACAAGTGAGCATTTCTGTAGGCTCCTAAGGCTCAGGGAGAGGCCACCTTGAGCAGGACATGCTTCCCCTCTTGAGGAGTTTACAGCTTAGTGAAGGTCTCGCAGCAACAGAGAAACTTCTATGACTTAAAAAAACGGTTTAGCCCAGAGGATGTGGCTCAGTGGTTGAGCATTGACCCATGAGCCAGAAGGTCACAATTCAATTCTCAGTCAGGGCACATGCCCAAGTTGCAGGCTCAATTTCCAGTGAGTGGGGGGTGAGGGGGGGCGCCGGGGCATGCCGGGGTGTGCAGGAGGCAGCCAAGCAATGATTCTCTCTCATCATTGATGTTTCTCTCTCTCTCTCTCTCTCTCTCTCTCTCTCTCTCTCTCTCTCTCTCTCTCTCTCTCTCTCTCTCTCTCTCTCTCTCTCTCTCTCTCTTTCTCTCTCTCTCTCTCTCCTCTCTGTCTCTCTCCATCTCTAAAATAAAAAATAAATTTTAAGTTTATTGGCCCTGGCCAGGTGGCTCAGTTGGTTGGAGTGTCATCCCATATACCAAAAGGTTGCTGATTTGATATCTGGTCAAGGCACATACCTGGGTTTCAGGTTTGATCCCGGGTCAGGGCACATAGTGGAGGCAACCAGTAAATGCTTCTCTCTCACATCATGCCCCCCCGCCCCCACTTCTTCCTCTTTCTAAACGCTCAGTTGGGTGAGGATTAAAAGCTTAAAGAAAAAAACTAAATAAAACAAATCCAATCCCTGTAATTATACCTCTGTTTCTAAAAACACAATATTGGAATTGTGCTAAGTTTATCATCTTGAAATCTTCTTTCCCCTTGTAGCATTTTGTATTCTTAGAAAACAGTATTAATCTCCTTGTGCTATTCTGCTGCCTGGGGTTTGAGAGTGTAGCTGTCTACCCCTCTGATGGGCTGAGGGTGCAAGGCTGCGGTGGGCACACGGGAAACCTTGGGAAAGGTCTTGAACCTGACACCTGAGCTGAGTCCTAAGGGACTAGGAGTCAGCCAGGTGAAAAGGGATGGGGAGAGGCCTAGGCAGTCTGTGAATGAGCTGAGGCCTATAAGAGACACGGCAGAGAGGGTGGGGGCGGTGCTACAGGAGCTTAAAGTTCAAGCTCAGGAGCAAGGAGTGGCAGGAAATAAGGTGGAAGACAGGCAGGTGATGGGCTGCCTCTGGGGCCTGTTAAAGGCTTAGACTTTGCCCTGCCAGGCTGCAGGCAGCCTTGAGGCTGTTAAGCATAACCAGGCTTATCTTCTGTGTGACTGAATCCTCTAGCCCGCCTCACTTTCCTTTGCGGGGAGAGGGGGGTTTCACCTTTCTTTGCCCCTCCTCCCCTTTTTTTAAAAAAATCCTCACCCAAGAATATTTTTCCATTGATTTTTAGGGAGAGTGGGAGAGGGGAAGACAGAGAGAAATATCAATGTGAGAGTAACACATGGATTGGTTGCCTCCTACATGAGCCCTGACCAGGGCGTGGGGCGAGGGAGGAGCCTGCAACCAAGGTAGTCACCCTTGACTAAAATTGAACCCGGGACCCTTTGGTCCACAGGCTGATGCTCTATCCACTGAGCCAAACGGGTTAGGGCTGCCCCTCCTTCTTCCCTCCCATCTGGCTGTCCTCTGTGTTTTCCATGTCTGGAGTCGATTCAGAGGCCTGCAAACCCCACATCCAGGAGCGTCTAATCCCAAATCCAGAGGCAGTACTGATCCTGGCCTCAGAGCGCTCCCGGCCAGGAGGGAGGGAGGGATGTAGAAGGCAGCAAGACCCTGGTCCCATATGACCTGAGTGGGACAGGGAAGGGGGCCATTTCTCTATTTCTGCCCAACCTTTGATTCTCCTCTGTGAGTGCACAGCTGGGAGAGTTCGGTTATCAATATGTTATTAATAAACTAGAGGCCCATTGCATAAAGAGATTCATGCAATAGGCCTTCCTTCCCCTGGCTGCCAGCACCGGTTTTCCTCCGGCACCCGGGACCCAGGCCTTTGGTCCGGCCACAGCGGAGAAGCCAAGCTTCTTCAATCTTCAGTCTTCAATCTTCAGTCTTCACTCCATGCCTGCATATGCAAATTAACCACCATCTTTACTGGGTTAATTTGCATAGTCACTCTGATTGGCTGGTGGGCATAGCAGAGTGACACCAATTTGCATGTTTCTCTTTCATTAGTGTAGATAATTCATGGCATTGCCCCACCTTATCTGGGGCATTTCATACATTACAAAACACTTTCAAGAACATTTCCTCATTCACTACAGTTTCCAGAACGACAGGGCAGATATTTCACAGCTGGGGGAACTGAGGCAGGGAGGTGTGGTGACTTGCTGCAGGTTACCCAGGTGGCAAGTGGCCCAGTCGGGACTGTGTGACCCGCAGCTGACCTGTCTCCTCCTTGCGCAGGTGGATGAAACCTCAGAGCCCGTGTATGCAAACATAGAGAGACAGCCTCCAACCACTTCACCTGTCGCCGCTGCGGGCCCCAGACCCGGCCAGGTGTGGGAGACACACACGGACACGGACACCGGGCGGCCTTACTACTACAACCCAGACACCGGCGTGACCACCTGGGACTCGCCCTTCGAGGCTGTGGAAGACGCCACCAGCCCCGCCCACTCCCTGTCCTCGGTGGGCAGCCACGAGAGCCTCGAGACTGAGTGGGGTCAGTACTGGGATGAGGAGAGCCGCAGGGTGTTCTTCTACAACCCGGTGACAGGCGACAAGGTCTGGGAGGAGGAGGCCCAAGAGCCCGAGGAGGAGGAGGAGGAAGAGGACGACAACGACAACACGTTGAAGATGCAGCCAGGCCTGAGCCCCCGCAGCCCCAAGGACCAGAGGGTGAGGGGCGGGGCCTGAGCGGGGTGGGCGGGGCTGGCTCCTAGGCCTCTGACCCCTCCTCCCCACAATCCTGGGAACTTGGGATGAGGGGCGGGGCCTGAGCTGGGTGGGTGGGGCTGGCTCCTAGGCCTCTGACCCCTCCTCCTCCCCACAATCCTGGGAACTTGGGATGAGGGGCGGGGCCTGAGCTGGGTGGGTGGGGCTGGCTCCTAGGCCTCTGACCCCTCCTCCTCCCCACAATCCTGGGAACTTGGGGTGAGGGGCGGGGCCTGGCCAGTGGTGGGTGGGGCTGGCTCTGAGGGGCCTCTGACCCAGTCTTTTACTCCCTGCAGCCTCCCACCCCTGAGACAGACTACCCTGAGGTACTGACCAGTTACCCCGAGGAGGACTATTGCTCTTCAGGCTCCTTCAGTGAGCCCGGGCCGGCCTCTCCTTTTGTCACGCCTCCCGGCTGGTCATGCCACATGGACCCGGAGGGGCAGACACTCTACACCAACCAGTTTACCCAAGAGCAGGTAGGGGAAACAGACAGGGGGGCCCAGAGAGTCTCAGGGACACACCCCCAGCCCTTCCTCACTAGTAGCTCCCGGTAACACTGAACTTCGGCTCCTGCTCTGGCTCCAAGCCAGCCTAGGGCACTGTGTCACCTGCACCTGTCCCTCCGGACTCCTTGGGTCTATGTTGGGCTCTGGTTAGAGGGAACCTTTTCTTCTCCTCTCTTGAGGCCACTGGCAGCCCTGACCTTCCCTCTCCCCACAGTGGGTGAAGCTGGAGGACCAACATGGGAAGCCCTACTTCTACAACCCCAAAGACTCCTCTGTTCGGTGGGACCTGCCCCAGGTAACCAACTGGGGAAGGGAGAGTCCTAAGGAGGGGGCGCGGGGGGCGGGAGGGACGGGGTTATATATGACAGTGTCTTTCTCCCCAGATCCCAATTCCTGCCCCTCGAAGCATCCTCAAATCCAGCCAAGACAGTGAGACCCCAGCCCAGGCCAGCCCTCCGGAGGAGAGGGTAAGGGAAGGGGCGTGTAGGTCCTGGGGTCTGGAACTGGGCCAGGCATGTCTCCCCCATAAGCCCCAGCACTAGCCTGGGCTGAATGAACCTGGATCTGGGTCATTTCAGGCCCAGACGTGGTTCGGAATGGGAGCTGGGAGGAAATCTCTGTTGCTGCTGCTGCTGTGGGAGCAGGGACCCCACCATCAGCAGCAGCAAAGAGGGTTCAATGGAGGTCCAGGCCCAGCCTGTGGGGCATTGCTGGCCGAGGGGGAGACTAGCCTCGGTCCCCCATGGCTCACATCCTTAACTGCCTCCTCTTTCCCCTTCTTTCTCTAAGATCAAGACCCTGGACAAGGCAGGCGTGCTCTGTCGCACCAAGACAGTGGACAAGGGAAAGCGGGTCCGGTGAGAGCCCTTCTGCCCCCACAGAGGGCAGGGTGGGCCTTAGTGACGACATTCGCTGAGCACTGCCCCTATGCCAGGCTCTGTTCATCCTCAGAGCAACTTTGTAAGAGGTCCTGTGAGGACACTGAGGCACGGAGAGATAAAGGGTCCACCTCTCGCAGTCGGGTGTCCCCAAGCTGTGATCTTTTCTTAAAAAATATTTTATTGATTTCAGAGAGAGAGGGAGAGGGAGAGGGAGAGAAACATCAATGATGGGAGAGAATCATTGATCCCACTGGGGATCGAGCGTGTGCCCTGACAAGGAATCGAACCATGACCTTCTGGTTCAGAGGTTGACGCTCAACCATTGAGCCACTCTGGCGAGGCCCCAAGCTGTGTTCTTAAGCTCTGTGTCCTGCTCCCCGGGGTGGGAAGGAGGCCTCAGCCCAGGGCCAAATCCAAGC